CTTCGCATTGGGGATGATTTCCAATATGCGCACAGACCATTACTTCATCTTCTCGGATAGTCTCAGTTCGATCGGGGCTATTCGGTCGATGAAACAAGGTAGGTACTCATCTTATTTCCTTTCAAAAGTAAGGAAGCAGATGAGTGTGCTGATCGAAAGATCATATATGATTACCTTTGCATGGGTTCCCTCACATTGCCCAATCCCAAGCGATGAGAAGGCGTACTCTCTCGCAAAGGTTTTATGACAGGCAAATTTAACACGTTGAATTTTATCATTTTGTGCGTCAGAGTACCCTTTCGAGTTGGCAAACCGATTGGGACACTGGAAATCTTGGACGGTGGTTACATTCAATTATTCCTAATGTTTCTTAGAGATCGTGGTTTAAAGGCTTGGGCTTAAGTCGTGACTTCATTCGCATGATGAGTAGAATTATGTACAACCACTACTCGCTAGATGCGCATCTCAATAGAATAAACCTCGTGGACAGCAACATCTGTCGGTGTGGATACGGTTACGATGACATCGATCACGCAGTTTGGCAATGTACGGATAATGACGCCGCCAGAGAGCAACTTTTGAATACTCTCGAGGCCCAAGGAAGACAACCCTATGTTCCTATCCACTGGCGTGCACAGGGTGGGACAAGGTGGAGGCAAAAGCCCCTCCTTTTATATATAAGATGTGTATTTCCACATTTACAAATTATGATATAAAATAACTTGATTTCTTGATAACTTGATTTGAAGGTAAATAACTTCATTTCATACAATAAAGGCACTGAAAACCTTTTATTGCGTCAATTCCTTTGAGATGGTGTCTGAAAATTGCACCACAAAGGTGCATGAATGGACAAAGTGGTTCATGGATGGTTAAAAGGGGTAAATTTAAGGTTGAAAAAATTCACTTTCGTGGTGGTAAATTGTAGAAAAAGTTTTTTATTGAATAATTCTGGTGGAAAATTTGAATCATGCATTAAATTTGGAGGTGCACATTTAACTGAAAATTTCTGGTGGAACGTTCGCAACACTGTGGTGAATGCAGAAGGTTTATTCATGTTTCTGGTGCATAATTTGCATAGTTCTGATGAATGCAAGCTTCATTGAAAATTTATGGTGGAAAATTTGCACCATTCTGGTGCATGGAGAGGCAAAGCCTGAAAATTGCACCACAATTTTTGGTGCACCGTTGTGGTGAATGGAAGAACATGCTTTATTGAAAATTTCTAGTGCAAAATTTGTATCGCTCTGATAAATGAAATGAACAGAAAATTTCTGGTGGAAAACTTGCACTGGTCTGGTAAATGAAGGCACAAGCTCTATTTAAATTAAGCTATATTGAAAAGTACTGGAGGAAAATCTGCACCGTTCTGGTGAACGGATGGGTAAGCTTTTCGGAAAATGTTTGCTCTCAAATCTGCATCCTTTTGCTCAATAGAGGAACAACTTTAATAATAATTTCTGGTGTAAAATTTGCAACATTCTGATGATTCGAGGGAAGCTGCTTTACTAAAAAATTATGCTGAAAAATCTGAAAATAGGAGCAAGCTTTATTTGGTAGAAAACCTGCAACATTCTGATGATAGGAGAAGCAAGCTATATTGAAAATGTCTGGTGGAAAATGGAAAAATTGATATCTGCACCAATCAAAAGATTGGAGAACAATTTTTATTGAACATAAACGGTGGAAAATTTGCATCGTTCTGGTCAATTGAAATTTCCTGGTGTAAAATTTTTTGGGGCAAGTTGAATTGAAAATTTCTGTTGCAAGATTTGCAACAATCTGCTGCATTGAGGCAATAGCTGAATGGAAAATTCCTGATGTAACCATTGCACAGTTCTGGTGAATGGAGGGGCAAGCTTTATTGAACATTTCTGGTAGAAAAAACTACAACGTTTTGGTGAATGGACGGACAACTTAAACTTGACTTCCGAGAAGAACCTCAACGGTATTGAATTCTGAAGACAAGTTCCAAAAGAAACGATTTCTGGAGATGATTCCATGAAAATTCTGCGAATAATTTCTAGTGAATAATGCAGATAGTTCCAAGATAATTTCGAAAAGAATACCGAGAGAATCAAATTTTGAATGAAATTCCAAAGGGATGTTGGGGAAAATTTCAAGGAAATTTCGAGTATAATTTCAAGCTCATTTTGGGAAGAATTTCTGAAAAATACAGAGGAAATTCTTCTCAAAATTTAGGCGAATTTCAGTTCCAAGGTGTTCTGAGAAAAAAAAAAGTTCCGAGAAGATATGATATTGAATTCCTAGGATTTTCTGGAATTCCAAAATATTTCTGGAGAGAATTTTTAGTACATCCTGCGGATAATTCCAAGATAATTTCGAAAAAAATACCGAGAAAATCAAATTTTGAGTGAAATTCCAAAGGGATTTAAAGCAAAATTTCAAGCGAATTCTAAGGAAAATTTCTACCGCATTCAGTTCCAAGGTGTTCTGAGAAAAAATCATAAAGAGTTCTAAATATAATTCCAGAGTTCTAAATACAATTCCAGATCATCAAGGATATTGAATTCTGAGGACAGTCCCAAAGAATTTCTGGGAAGTATTCCAAGAAAATTCTGCGAATAATTTCTAATGAATCCTGCAGATAGTTAAAAGATAATTCCGAAAAGAATACCGAGAAAATTAAATTTTGAGTAAAATTCCAAAGGGATTTTGAGGAAAATTTCAATGGAGTACCGATAATTTCTCGCTCATTCCGGGAGTAATTTCTGGATAATACTGGGAAAATTCTTCTGAAACTCTAAGGGAATTTCAGTTCCAAGGCGTTCTGAGTAAAAGTCAAGGAGAGTTCTAAAAATAATTCCAGAGGACTTCTGAGAAGAATTTCAAAAGAGCTCATAGAGTTCTAATAAAAAGGTTTTGGATTCCCTAATTGAAAAGTGAGTATTAGTTTGCCATTGAACCTTGGTCGATTGTTGTCTTACTAAAAAATCGTCGAAGAATCTTCTCTGAAAATGTCGATGAACAGCTTTGAGTGTGTTGGTTTATTTCCTTTTAATTCCGGTATAATTGCTTATATTTTGACAGATACGCGTATTTCGTCTACTACTTGCAGGCTTCATCAGTGCCAAGCACTCAATATCACTGATCAAGATTGGATTGATCAAGAGCAATATACTGTTTGTTCGCTGCTATGTGCACTGTTTGAACCTTGTACTTGTCGACGCAGTGTGCATGCGAAAGGAGAATGCGATTCTTATTGGTCATTCATCTCGGTTTGTCGATGCTATCACCATCATCTGACGTGACTTCAGCTGAATTCAACCACCAAGACAACAACATTGCAGCAAATGTATAATTTCGGATAAAGCCACTATCGCAGCCATTTGACGAACCGATCATCATGGACATCGTCGATAGGATTAAATTGCCAATTTCCATTGGCTGTCTGAAAGCAGTTTGCATTGAAGAAGATGAACCACCGCTGGAGCAAAAAATAAGTAAAATTAGCTAAATTGCACAGTAGGGAAAAAGTGGGAGGAGGACAGCACCATCTACGACGTACTTTGGAGTACTCCCCATCCCCAGATTAAATGCACCAAAGAAAAAAAAATGCCCCTCCTTAACAAGATTCCTGTGCATGCTAGTGTTCCTATCAGATACGTGTTGGGACCTTGCAATATCTGCTATATGCAGACGGTTTATGTGTTTCTTCAAATGTCTAGTATAAGATTTTAATTACTTTGTCTTTTGTCTCTAGCTTTTTTTTTCGTCTTGTCCCACCGTCTCGATGAGTCTCATACTGGTGACAATGCTCTGATGAGACAATGAAAATCCACCCCTAAGCTCCACCCCTGATCCTATCCTTCGACAATGTACCCTTCTAACCTCGAGTAAGCCGCGAGTATTCGGTCCTAGACATAGAATTAAGTGAATTTTGTTACAAACAGTGAACAATGAATTATCGGCCCCGTAAAGCTGACGCGATTGAGTAAACGAACTGGATAAAAAAGAACGGTGTATCACTATGATAATCTTAGGTGTTGCAGAATTGTTTTGACTATGTCCTCCTCAGGTCTGGAATGCAAACACAATTTGGAGGCACTTTTTATTTAAAATAATCTGAATGCATCTAGATTTAATAACTAGTTAGATTATAAATACCGAACAATATAAAATTTTCCAAAATTTCTTCTCAACTTTTCCTTAATCAACATCATGTAAGCGAACCTCCAAAACATTCGTAGACCGAATCAAACTCTCTTCTGCACTCTCCGCTGCTATCCGTCTCAGCGAAACGGACTCTCCCTCCTCATCGGTTGGAGAATCCCCAAACAGTCTCCCACAATTGGGCTCCCTTCTCACGGAGCCACAGCAGACGGTGGTGGTGAGATGGCACTTCAAATTCTGCGCAAACTCCCTTTCGCAAGGAAAATTTGACAGCTGGCTCACCACGATGTTGGTGAGCTGAGCGAGCCTCCCGTGTGTCCGTCCGTCGACGACGAGTAAAAACTGGAAACGTCATTCGTTTTTCGCGACCAGTCAGCATTGGCAGTGGGGAGCGAAACTCTGTGTACCTGCAGAATATTTCTTTTCGGTTGAGAAAAAGTCTTGATTTTGATTGGAGACATTCCAGGAAGGATTCGATCGTCCGACGACCGATGGATTTAGTGTATTTTGGGACAGGTTTGACGTGTTTTGAGGGTGAAATAGAGTGAGCGTGTGATAATTAGGTGCTGCAGAAGATATGGGGCATCCTGGCATCCAGGATTCAAGGCCTCGTTCGTCGGTTTTGACGTTGAAAAGTCGAAGGACGTCGGTGCTTCACGGTCTGGGGAGGCAAGCAGCAGTCGTCGTGGCAGCCTCTTGGGGGCGTAAATAATTTGTGAGTGAGTGTTGTGATATGCATCCGAATTGGGGTTTATTAGATTGAACAGATAAGTCCTTCCAGTGAGGGTGTTTATTTAAAAATTGATTGCAGATATTAGTATAGCTATGAACTAATTTAGAAATTTTCTTTTTTCTCACCTTGTAAGGTCACACGCATTTGGAATCGACACGTGAAGACTTTCTGTGGAACGAATACGGCGAAAGAAGGACCAGAACTACCGTGCAAGTTGGATAACGAGAGAAGATATTATCTGACATCGGAGGAAAATCTCATCTACTATAAGTGTTCTAGTGCATTATCATAAGTGTCTGCTTTAAGTGTTTTTGCATTAAAGTTGTTGTTGCTTAACGAATAGTGGAATACAACGCATTACTTAGTGATATTAGAAGTTACTAACGGATCGAAAAGAAAAAGGTTCAAGAAAATAGTTCTGAGATCCAAAAAAACACGTTAAAGCAAAGAAGAAAAGTGTCAGTCCACATAAGTTTTCCACTGTAAAAAAAAACAAAACTCACTTAATCTCATGCAACATTTTCTCACCAACAAAAAGCACCCCCCTCTTGCAGGAATTCGGCAAACCACCCGCATCGACCCGTCTCCGAGTGAAAGTGACAGCAAGAGAGCGTGAGAGCGAACGAACAATCGCACACAGAGAAAGAGACCGAGAGAGAGAGAGACTTTGAATTGATAAGACACAAGTGAGCAAGTGCTACGATTCACGACTCACCAAATACCGCCCACAGCCCCTTACCGGTTGCCGTTTCATACCCCCCGGGAGGGGTGTAAAAACGCATGTGAACGGCCCAAGTTCTTCACTTCCAGTACTATCAAGGAGCAGCCACGGTGGATTCAGTGTCACTGTCAGAGCTAAAATGTGTGCGCGTGTGAGTGAGCTCACGAAAACATTGAATTCAAACGTCAACAACAACAACAACTTCGTCATCCTTGAATGGAATGGCATCACGTTTTGCTCGGTAAAGGAAGAAGACGAAGAATACATTTGTCGATGTAATGCAAGGGAAATGTAATTGGGCAGAGTCAGAGGTTTTCTTGATTGAGAAAGTTTGTGTGTGTGGGAGTGTTTGTGTGGGCACCAGTGTCGAGTGCAGGAATGTGGTGGAGAATACAAAGCAAGGTGGTAGCGAAATTCGTTGAATCAAGGTAGTACTACAACTAGTGAGTGGTGAAAATCGTGAATAAGATCGCTAATCGCTGAGAATAAGAGGGAAAAGAAGAGGAAGAATAAGTTTGATAAAACGAGTAAATTAGACTATAAAAATCGACTACTACAAAGGGTGGAAAGAAATCGTTTTCGGTGGTGTTGAACGGGGAAAAGAGAAAGAAGAAGCGATATCGTGTGAAACTGAGAAAAATACTACATAGTCGAGCAAGGATATAAATAGTGGATCAATAAAAAGTAAAAGAAGAGAAATAATACTTCATACAACACGTCGAAGGGAACCGAGGAGGAGGAATTGGAATTGAAATAAGGAATCGTCGTCAATACAACGGAGCTGTCGCGAACAATTCGGCATGAGTTAGTGCATGAGGATGAGTGATGGATTTTCCGCTTGTTGAGGATAGTAGTTTACCTTTGGGATAACGTTAGCGGAAAAGGTGAGTGGTGGAATTATCATCTTAATTTTTTTTCAGGTACCAAATATCTTCAATTTTAAATACTGTGATGATTCCATTCGCAGTATTTCCTTTTACAGCTGACGGCGCTTTTAGGGAAATTCCAAGAATCGGAGATTATTTTGATCCAGTGATCAAGTCTATTTAACAAGCCATTGAACATAAAATACTTTTAGCAACTTAATATTAATATTTTTGCTTCTTCCGGAAGATTTGTCAGACTTCTCCTGAAAATTTCTTCCGTCTGAATTATTCTGGAACCGTCTTTCTCGGAAGTTTCTTCTGACCTCCCTTGGTAAATACTTTGACTTCTATTGGAAGTATTTTTTGAAGTTCGGACTTTCCCTGGGAAATTTTTCCTGGAAATTTCATTCATCTTCCTTCAGGAATTATTTTAGGTTTCCATTCAACAGTTTCTTCTTTCTGACTTGTGCTGAAGACTTCATCTTTGCCTGGAAGTTTCTGCCAAATTCAACTGGAAGATTCTTCCTACATCTCTGAGAAATCCATCAGACTACAAAATTTAACAAACGCTGCCCAGTGGTCCTGACCACTTTAGTGTTTGTTTCACATCCCTGATGAGCAGCAAGCATTACTCAACTAACAAAAATTCATAGATTTACGTTGAGTAAATTGCTATACAACCAAAATCAGTCATTCAAAGGTAATATATAGAACGTGTGTGTTTCTTGGGTAATAATCACAAGAAAAATGGTAGATTCTATCATTTTCCAGGATTCTTTAAAATACTGATTGTTCCCAGAAAGTATGTTCCAAACAGTTTCTTTCTGCATTTTGGAAGATTCTTCCATTTTCTCTTAAATATTTCAAGAATCGCTGGATTCGAGTTTCTGGTAGATTTCTCCGATTGTTTAAAGAAGTTTCATCCAAAATACTCGTGACGTTTTTTCCTACCTTAACTGGAAGCTATTTTCCACTTTCCCTGTAAGCTTCTTTGAGGAGTCATTATTTGACTTTCCTTGTGAGGTTCTTCTAATCTCACACGGAAGATTATTTTTCCTGAAGTTTCATCCAACTTCCCTTGTAATGCTCATTTGATTTCCTTCAGAAGCTTCACACGACACCTTCCAAAAACCGTTCGGGTTCCTCCCGGAAATATTCTCCGACTTTCGTTTGACTTCCTTCCAGAAAATTCTTCCGAACCTCTCTTCAAATATCCGAAGATTTTAACGCTTTCTTCTGGAAGTATCTCCTAATTTCCTACGGAGTTTTATTTTCCGACTTTTACTGGACGTTTCATTCGAGATCCTACTGGCGTCGCTTTGAAATGTCTTCCAAATATCCAAGCCAAATTTTCTGAACTTTATCGGAAGTTTCTACTGGCTTCTCTCAGAAGATTCTTATTTCTCCCGACCCTTTCTTCCGAATTCCAACAGATGCTTGACGAGCTGCTCCGGAAATCCCTTTAACTTAATATTTCTTTCAAAAAAGGTTGCTGATCTTCACCAGTTTTTGTAAACAATGCATTTGATCGTCGGTTTGGCATAACATAGCTCACCCCCGCATACTAAAGGCTGACTAAAAGTTGCTGTAATTCGTGATTCATTAAGTTTAAAAAGTCCATTAATGGTTGCTTTACAGTACTTTTACTAAAACTTCAAAATTACAGCATTAGATAATAACATTTCTCCAGTTCAAACGAAATCTCGAACCTTACTATGGATAAAGCCAATCAGCGGAATAAGCGCATTCCTTCCATTTTGCCCGCATTTGCTGGATATTCTCGACTGCCCCACCGCTTGGTCGAAGTTGCTGCTTTGAAATTGCCCAGTATTTTTCGATTGGTTGAAATTCCGGGCAATTCGGAAGATTCATTAGCTTGGGGACAAAATCGATCTTGTTGGCAGCATACCACTCCAGAACCACCTTGGAGTAGTGGCAACTGGTCAAATCGGTCCAAAAGATGACTTTGCCTCTATGCTTGCGGATGAACGGCAATACACGCTTTTTCATGCATTCTTCGATGAAACTTGGGATGTCATCGTCGAGGATGTAACAAATGGTTCCGTTTTCAGGCCACAACTGCAAATCGCTTTCCAAATCATGGTCTTCTTAGCGAACTTGTCGGCAAACACGAACTTGAATCTTTCGAGTTCCATTTCTAGACCAATAATTTAAATACGCGGGACAACCAAACGTAAACAATGGCTTTAAACACAAAATTCCCGAGAATCAAAACACTCCCAAGTAAACTAACAATGCCATTCGATAAAGGAAGTTTGCTTTATCAGATGATGGTGTTAGGTTGCTTAGATGTGCTTTGATTCTCGAGGAATGTGCGTTTAAAGCCATTGTTTACGTTTGGTTGTTCCGCCTATTTCAATTGTTGGTCTAGATTTGACGTTATTTCTGAATGCAATCGACTACTTTGATCAAACTTGCACCAGTTATTCTCTATAGAAGTGTAAACAAACCACTGTCAAAGATTTTCGATTCCCAACGCTAGAGGCGTGCTAGCGGCGCGCGAGGGGCGTATCAATTTACTCTTATTCAGCCTTTAATACTGCTACCAGGCAGGCTTGATGGTAGTGTGAGGATGCGTGGGCGAGCTACGAGTTAAGCCAAATCGACGATAAAATCTATTGTTTACAAAAGCTGATACGCCGTAGCTCTGTACAATAAGACCACTGAAAAAAGCATGGGTTTCAAAGTGTATTCGAAAATATATTCAGAAAGGGAGCAGCCAAAACCATGCATTCAGGCAAAGATTAGCAATGCATTTGCAATGCTAATTTTCCTCATGATTAGCAATATTGTATATAAAGAGTAAATAAAAAGTTGGAAGGGTTGTATACTAGATACGACCGCAGGGTTGGCGTTGGATAACGTCTGTTATGTGTTGTACTTAATTGTGTATATTATATTTTAGGAATATTCCTTAATAACTCTTTTGCGATATCTTTCCCCAAAGCGCGTTCGGACAACTCAGGCGTTTTCATTAATTTCTTCTCTCGATTCCGGAAGTGCACGACGTATCTGGAACTACCACACCACAATGTATGCAGAATATTGTCGGTACTGGATTAGTAGCGGTAACCAGCAGGACCTACGTTGATTTAAGCTTAACACCCGCAGATTGATGAACGCTCCATCACATCACTTCAACCTTTCACATTCTGGCAAGAAAGTCGATTCTAAAACACCTTTTAAATTAAGGGCCGGTTTTTTGTTCTGAGTCGATGATACTAAATTAACCCCCGAATCCGTACAGAGTACGTCCCTGCCGTTTCAGAGCGTAAACGACATCCATGGCGGTGACAGTCTTCCTCTTCGCATGTTCGGTGTAAGTAACGGCGTCACGAATAACGTTTTCCAGAAATACCTTCAGCACTCCTCTGGTTTCTTCGTAAATGAGACCGGAAATTCTCTTAACTCCACCACGACGAGCCAAACGACGGATTGCAGGTTTAGTGATGCCCTGGATGTTGTCACGCAACACTTTTCGGTGACGCTTGGCTCCTCCTTTGCCAAGTCCTTTTCCACTCTTGCCGCGTCCAGTCTAGGATTGGGCGATCTTGGATCGATCTTTGGAAGATCGATATTTTTCAACCCGATTGACGATTTTTTGGATCGATTCTTTGTCCACGAAAAGATCGAAAAAATCGGTCTCTTCTTTCGATCTTTTCCATCTTAATAAAAAAATTATTGACATTGAAAAAACGATTTACTCTCACCCCAGACTGCGTGGTAAATTTAACGAACATCGTTCCCTACAATGACGTCACTATTTGCGTTTCCGATATTAACGAATACAGCAACATTTGAAGGTTTTTCCTATCTCCCTCCTTCTTTGCTCATTACTTCTTACCGCCACGACAACATTTAATTGAATATTATAAAGGAAAGAATTTCTTGGGGTACCAACGTAAACAAGCGGTAGTCCATTCTATATGTAAGATATGTATATGTATTGATGGTCCGATAGTGAGAATAACAATAACAAACAATTGGCTAAAGCGAAAGTGAGGATAGCAAACTAAGCACTTGAAAATGGGATTACGCAAGTGTGTGAGTTATAAACGTAAAGAAAGATCAATTAAAATAAAAACCATAAGATCGATCTACCAAATATCGATTCTTTGGTACCAATTTAATAAGTGGATCGATTCTAGAGCCAAATATACGATCGATCCGTCAATATCGATCTTTCTCTGAAGATCGCCCAATCCTAGTCCAGTCATTTTCTAGTATGATAATTGTAACGTCGATGAAGGTTGAAACGAAAGTGAACAAAAATTCCAAATTTTGGCTGTTTTATACCTACTCGAGGGTTAAATTCTTTTTGTTAGTTGTTGTGTTCTTGTTCTTTCATCGTTTCTGATTGGTTGAACACAGCAAACGCATGTTATAAAACAGAATGGAAGTGATTTTTATTTTTTATTCCACAGTGTGCTTTCATTGAATACACATCACAACCAACAAAATGGCTCAGCGACCGCTCGCAAGTCCACTGGAGGAAAGGCTCCTCGCAAGCAGTTGGCAACGAAGGCCACTCGCAAGAGCGCTCCAGCCACCGGAGGAGTAAAGAAGCCCCATCGCTACCGGCCAGGCACCGTCGCCTTGCGTGAGATCCGTCGCTATCAGAAATCCACCGAACTGCTGATCCGAAAGTTGCCTAACCAACGTCTGGTCCGTGAAATTGCCCAGGACTTCAAGTACGATCTGCGCTTCCAGAGCTCAGCTGTTATGGCTCTGCAGGAAGCTAGCGAGGCCTATCTGGTCGGTCTGTTCGAGGATACCAATCTGTGTGCTATCCACGCCAAGCGCGTCACTATCATGCCGAAGGACATCCAGCTGGCTCGTCGTATTCGTGGAGAACGCGCTTAATTACCCCGTCTAAATCTTAACAAAACCGACCCTTTTCAGGGCCACCACAATAATTCAAAAGAGTTGAAGTGACCTTTAAAATTTAAAATCGTTCGTTCCGTTCTTGTCTAGATTAAGTAAGTAGAACGTGTGCG